CTCAATTTTGTCTCCTTGACCTCAAACGAACCATAGGATTAGATATGAAATTCTCAAACCAATGTGTGTTGATATTCCACTCCAGGTGTTCTTCGATTGTATATCGGTACGCGGGGTTTCTAATTCCTTCTTTCTCACTATAAACCCAGAACAACTTTAAGCCCCAAAAATATGAACTGTGGATACGTCCACATTGGCTGACACTTGACAGGATTGCTTCATTTAAGGTTCAGCTGTTCGAAATTTCAAATAAATCTACAGTTTATGTCGCAGCTTTATTAAGGCACGAAGTGCACAAGAGCTTTGCCTTATCAATGTGTTGAGGGGAGTCGGGACATTTGGCATCTCAGTCAGAGGAGTTAGAGTTAGGCTTGTCTAGTTGTTGTGCCCTATTCGAGGAGGGTTTGACCAATGACAATTTAGCGTCGTAATTGATTCAAAAGTGAAAACAAAACTGTAGATTGATTCAACTTCAAAAGTGAAAACAAAAGCTGCTTTTTGTAAATTGATTCAAACATGTCGCTGTAAACTGCTTGACATTTAACTAAGTCAATTACCAACATCTGTTGCAGAGTCCACCACTCCAAAAGTAAACATCTCTTCTGATTCACAGGCGGGATAAGGAAATGAGATGGACCCGGGTCCGGTTGGGAAGAATTTCTACATTGGACCAACCCAGTTTCTAAGGGAGTTGAGAGGTCCACCGGTAATCGGGGTACACAAAGACCCAGAGACTGGAGTTGGTCAATGTTTGGAAGAGAACAAAAAGGTGGCCACTGGCCAGAGAGAGAACAAATAGCTTTTACAGTTAAAAAGAGTTCTTTTAGTTTTGACTTCCAACTTTCTTCTGTAGCTACAAGAAAGAAAAAAATCAATAAGCGCTGTTTCAACTTTCAAGTAAACCTTGAAACATGGATTATGGTTAAGGGAAACAGAAAAGAATTAAAATCAAATGAAAAGTTATTTTACAAATATAGTACAGGATTTTGAGCTTAGAGCTTGGGTATACTGTTTTATCCGTTTGTCGATTTCTATGCCACACATTGGGTCCTCAAAAAAAAAGAAAGAAAAAAGTTGGGCCCTTTTGAGACAAATGTATGTGGGTTGCCTCTGGATCATAAATGTGTATGTTTTCTTGTACAAAATTCTATGTAATTTCTTGTTTGCGGTGGAAAAATTGTATTAGGGTTTCGTTTTCCTCTCTGTTTTCCCGCTCTCTCTTCCACAGTTCCACTGTTTTCTCCTCCTTTGAAATTCTCAGCCCCATCTCTCTCCGGACGTCCTCTCTTAGTCTCTCCCATCTCAAAACGTGTCACTTATATTGAGATTAGTATTTATACTTTCAGGGGTATTCTTCAATGCGAATTACTTTTAAACAAAAACGCAAAAATGTTTTTGGTTATAGTACTTTTTTTTTTCTAGAAATTTATTTTTAGGCTCAATTTGAAAAGAATATAAATATAAAAATGTACAGTGGAAAACATGCCTTCTGTATTTTTAAACCTTGTTTTGCACTGTAATCAAACTGAACCTTGTAATCAGTAGTTTCAAACCTTATATATTTGTTCTGCACATATTTGTATTTGTTTTCTTCTCAATTTGAGTCTAAATGGCTAAATCTATAGTTTAAAGAACATGTTTTCATCTGAATATCTAATATCATGTTTCCATAAATCATATAATTTTTAATTTATATATATATATATATATATATATATATATATATTTATTTTTAAAGTCATTCTTTGAAGTCATGTCATGTATCAGTTTTTTAAACAAAATCAACTTTTTGTTTTCAAAAAAAAAAAAAAAAACACAAATTAAGAAGTTTTTCTTTTACTTTTTTTGTTAAGTGGCAATTTAAAAAACAAAAAAAAAAAATTGTGACTTAGATCCCTTTACTTATTTATGCAATTATTGGACCCACGGATTTAGAAGTCAACATTTTGAATTCCATGGATTTGTTTTTTTTTGGTAATAGAATTCCATGGAATCGAGGGAAGAAGCAAAATTCCGTGTACATTTGTGAGCCAACAACAGCACACTTTTCTCAGGGAGTCACGGATGTTCATTGTTCATGGCCAATCAGCTCCTTGGATTAATGAAGGAGTGAACAAATGAGCTACCACTTTGCCACTTTGGAGGAAGAATAAGAACAAGCTAACGATCTTACTTATCATCCACGTCTGGATAAATTATTAGCAGCTTCCGACTCAAAGGTCGCCACGTTCTGGTTAGTGAGGTGTATTAGGACACTTGACAAGCACCATTTGAGTGCATCATCATCATAAATGAGGTAATGCTACATTACCTGATGAGTGTCTGAAATTTTAGAAGGAAAAAGCTTTCAAAACTCAAAAGTGGTTCGTTTTTTTCCTTTTGATAGCAAATTTGATTTGTTCTTTCTGAAAAATAAAAAAGAGAAAACTGAAGAAAATGGAAACAAATGTAAGAAACTAACTAAACCCAAAAATTGACTATACAACCAACACGAAGTCCTTCCACAGCGTGGTTTTTTCTTCAGTGGTTAGTGCACCTGAACCGGAAATATATGATATTAGAAAAATTTATAACCAATCAACCGGGTATCATAAAAGTAAGAATTAATCAGTGGATTTTAATCAAAATTTATAGGGGGTTATAATTAGTCAAAGCCTTTTTCGGTATTATGTCTTTTCTGTATCATAGATTTTCAACTGATTCTGATTTTTTCAAAATCAAGGGTTCATTTGATTCATAATTTTCCTCCACTTGTTTGGTTTGGATGAGAATCGGAATTAGAATAATCACTAATAATTAATTAGAAAGATTTTCATCCCAAAAAAGAGGAAAAGAATGACCATTTTCTCTCGTATAGGATAATGTCGTTCCACCAGAAATGAGATTTTACACTTGAAATTAGAATGAACCATTTCTATTTCAATTTTAAACTTGTATTGAATCAGGATTGGACCACCCTTGTTTGTCCGGATTAGCCACGCGCAGCTTCGGTTCCTTAGTCCACATCAATTTTAGGCAACACGATTTATTAAAGTGCTTATCAAGTAATGTCAACCATCGAAACTTGGTTCAAGGATAGAAGGCAACGAGGAAGACACAACGAGCCTTTTTGGGCCTCTAATTATAATGCCATATACATCAATCCTGGAAATTGCTACGATAAAAAAAAAATGGCAAATCCGAACCAAATTTGGCCAATCCCTGCCCGTTGTAACCGACTATTACAATTGCTTCAATTAGTATCCAGAGGGGGCCCCTATTAACATTAGGTAGCTGAAGCAACGAAATACAACTATGAGATTTTAAAAAAAAAAAAACACTCGAATTAAGATTCGGTCGTTAGGTAGTATCCACGCTTTTTGAGTGAACTCCCTAACCACTTCAAGCCCACTGTACTCGCCAAGCCAACGTGTAGATTGTAGACGATGAGGAGGAGGAGCTTCAAGCTTGGGAGTTGGGGCCTATCTACTTTTGGCCATTTTCTCGTGAAGTTGGGTTTAGGGATATTTTTTAAAAAGAATAAACTAATATCTTCTTGCTTATACGTGAAGTTGAGTTAAACCGTTGGCCTACTGAGTACGGGTCCCAGAATTTTAAATGCTAAGGTTGTGGGAAGGGGACCCCTACCCTACCTAATTATCGTCGTCCGTAATAACTCACACTCACACCGCATGCTTGGTAATTATTCTCTCAGGTTAAGCTGCCGAGGATCTTTGTTGACCCAATCCAATACAATCATGGTCCTCAAACGGGAATAATGGTATTATGCAAGGATTAAAATGCCCATTGCGCTGCCTAAAATTTCCCCATTGCAAATACATTATTACTTTATTATAATTAATCACAATATTGCATATTTGCCTGGCCTCACGTCCAGACCACCATCTCAGATGGGCAAATGCCACTCAACTAGTGTCAATGGTCATTCATGGATCATGGTTTCAAACCTGACCCAGCAACGAGTTGGGAGCCCTAAACGTAAACTGCACCTTTATAGCTTTATGTCTCGACTTGGCGAGTGGTCTTGCACTACTGCTTGCCCTACTCCCAGTAGACATTTTTCCCTGTTCAACGGGACCCAGAACCGAAATGTCGGGCCGAAAACACTCAACTGGGATCCTGAGTCATGAACGAGGCACCGGGATGTCTGCTCCATGGGTTTAAATCCGGGTCATCACTTTTGGTTTTGGTGACAATAACGTATTGGACCCGAAACCCATCTACATATTCTGAGTCTTCTGACTACGGCACCTGCACTCTTAACAAGTCACAAACTTTATCAACAAAAAAACCCATCGAAGTCAAATGCTGATGAAAAAGTGAAATAGAGAACATCGTGTAACGGTGGGATATTCATAACGTAGTACTTCCCTTTCTATATGGTAATGGATTATTGGTGGGCCCAAAGTGATTGATCATGGTCAGAGTGCTAGATGGAGTGATGGACCAAGCTTCAACTATAAGGTGGAATTGGAGGTGGAGGTGGACCTAAAACACTAAACTACCCGGATTACATCGGATTTGCTCATATCTTCCCAACCAATTATGATGTAGAGACATTGGCCTTCCAATACAACAATCAGACGGGCCAAAACTGTGAACACGCATTTTATGGCCCACACTCCATTTCCCCACCTTTAAGCTCCAAACTTACGTCACTGACATGCAGTGCAGAGGAGTCTGCATCCGATTGCCACGTGAAAATCAGGGAGATGTAAGATTATTTTACGGAAAAGTATGAATACATCCGATGCAGAATTCTGAATTCCACCCCCTTTACTGTTATCCCTCTTGTAAATTTGACATCAATTCACGGTCAAGATGCATTCCCCTTCTACTTTGAAGCTATAAAATCCTGATCTGGGCTGATTGATCATTCTCATTTTTCTTTTTCAGATTAGAAAAAAGAAAAAGTAGAAAATGGAGTGAAGCGGATGAAATCCCACAAAAGATTAATATGAGAGAGAGAGAAGAGTAATAAAGTAATAAACTGTTAATGGCCAACTGGCCAACCCCAACTATTTCGTCATGATGAGAGCGAGGGATACCAGCCATTAGCAAATACGAGAGCTTGCTAATGCTCGATCCACGTCCACCGAAACTTTTTCTCAGACTTTTCCCCGTCTGTTTTCCGTCGAGTGATTAACGAGTTTGCCGGTAACCTTATTCGAACTTCGACCGTTGTTCACTTCTTACCAGCGGCAAGTCAAATTCCAGTTTTATCATCGTCTGATTTTTTGGCTGTATTCAGATATCCGACGAAAAACCGTTTCTGGTTTTAACGATATTACCATTTCGGTTTAAGCGCCTTGACGCGGCTGTATGTGAACCGTCAAGAAGCTTCGAAGGATTTTAAATAGGTGATGTAGGACRGGAAGGAGAAAGTCCTACAGACTACTACAGAGTCGCTGAAATCGAGGAGCTGGTTAGAGATCCGATACGAATCATAAGATCTCCGACCTAAATTTCGTGGTCTTTTTTGTTTCTATTTTTTTAAGAGAGAAAGTGAGGGGAAGAAGGGAAAAATCTCATATTAGCGAAGCACCACCTTTGTCACCAAAATCTATATACTGTAAAACGTATCCGAAGCTCAAACACAAATCTACTTGTTTGTCGATCGGATTGTTATGGGTCCCGAGTAATGAAGCGATCTAGCGCAAAAGCAGAGCTCCTATGCGGTGTGCACTGCATTGAAGTCGCCGGAAAGTAGACGGAAGCTGGTTTGTGGAGCAGACGGACCGGGGGGAGGAAGAATATAGGATAAAGAGGTGAAATCTTATCTCCGGTAGCAGACAGAAATAGAAAGTTTGCAGGTCAGTACAGGAAATGAGGAAGAGATGCTAAACTAAACATTCGTAGGGAAGACCAGTAAATGTTGGCAAAGAGACGTTTTGGTTATTTATTTTCTGTCGCGATATTTAATGCCAAAACCTGCCCTTTTATTAGGACCTTCTGGACCTAGACGAGCTGCTCGTAAAAATAAATACTTTGAGCTGTTTGACTTTATAGTCTCTTAGGGTTAGATTAAAACTCTCTCTCTCTCTCTCTCTGAATAGCCGGCTGGTGTGTATTTTTTTGGTATTCTTGCATTAATTCGATGGTGATGCCTCTTCTTTTGGAAAAGGAGATAAAGTGTTTTGCGATACCTTTCTCCTTATAGTTTTTGAAATAAAATTTGGCTTTGGTTTTTCTTTGATCGGCTTGTTTGATCTTCTCGGCCTGAATCGAGACTGTATTTGATCTGAGAAGTTGGTTGTGTCTTCTCTATCTAATTTGTTCTGTCTTCTGTGTCTCACTACTATTAATTTTTCTTCTGCAAAGAAGGTAATGGGTTAACTGTTCTGAAGCGATAAGAGATAATCAGAAAAAGTACTGTTTTTCCGACTGATCAAAAGGTAGGCTCTTTCCCCCCTTTTTTTTGTTTTCTCTTCAGTTCATTATTTTGTTGTTTCTGATGATCGTGAAAGTTTCTTTTGGATCTAATTCAGATCCTTCAGCTTTGGTCGTTTTGGATTTTTTTAGTAGTCTCGACGAAATTTGAAAGGACCCATTTCCAAATTTTACGTGTGGCGGTGTGGGTAGAAACCTGGAACCATAGTCTTTGAATTGGTTTGATCTAACCAGAGGTAGCTGACTTGAGGACTGAGGAGAATAATTGTATTGGGAGATCCTGTTTGATTCTGAATTCTTAGTTGAATTATTGATTGTTGAAGGTTCCAAGCGTCTTACAAATTTACGCATTTTAGGTAAAGAATTACAGAAACTTCAGGGTATTATTTAACCAGAGGGATTTGTACATAGATTAGTGATCGTTTATGTGTTTAATGCTTTAACTACCTGTAGTTTGAACTAAAAATCATTACCGGCCACTATGATCCCAATGACGAGACATCAAACACTCTTCCTTTTATAGATTCTTTTTTGCTCCAGAGACTGTTTCTGTTTGGTGGTCTTCCAATGTCCGTGCATTACTGTTCCGAGTTTAATATGGTTTTCTTTCCTCTTTCTTGTTGCTTTCTTTGTTTTAACCGAGTACTTTTTACTTTTCGGGTTTGTCCTTGACTTTTTGTTGATTAAAAGTTAACCGATGTTATTTTATTTTATTAGCTACTATTTGGGTGGTTGTATTTGAACTGAAATCTGGATTGAACCAACGGAGATATTTGATTTTACCCTCTGTTACAAATCATGGGTTTGCCGTTGTATCAGAATACTGCTTTAATTTTGTTTGAGTTATTCATTCCAGAACTTTAAGCAACATTATTTATTTCATGTTTTATATTTTAAAATTGAGTTCAGCAGTTGTATTTGACTTGAAACTTAGGATTGAGCTCACAAGGCTATTGGTAATACTCCGTGTTATAAATCTTAATTTCTTTTTTATGAGAAATCGTGTGTTGGTGTTTCTTTCTTCCCCTGTTCTCTTTTCCTTAGTTGAGGGGCATTATCCATGTTTTTATTGAAACTATTCTAATTGTCTGTTTAGAAATGATATTAATTTCTGATAACAATATTGAGTTGTTTTTACCCAATTTAATCAGTTCTTGGATTTGCATTTAATTCCACCTTATGAGTTTTACCCATAGTTTCCTTGAATTGATATTGCTTCATCATGATTGTGTTATTTACTTCTTGGTTTAATGGAAGTTCTGATTCATAAGAACCTGAAGAAAAAATTGCTCTCTCTTATTTAATTATTTACTCCTCTGGTGATTAAAATTGTTAAGTGGAGGAAATATGAAATTGGTTACTGATTAACTGATTATCTTACCAGGTTATCTGTTGGAGCAGTGTATGATTGCTCAAAATGCTGAGGGAAACAGCAGCTTTTTGACTTTTATTTTCTTCCCCAACATATGTAAGCCATGAAACTTGGTAATCCTCTTACCTTGCCTTCATGAGTTGTGAAAGACTCTAGTCATGCAATTTTAACAATAATGATAACAATGAGGATGATGATCATGAAAGATTTTCCTTCTTATTTTACCTAAGCCCATACTTCAATAAAAATCTTTTTATACCATGCAAATTGTAATTGGCTGGTCTCTGGATCTCTCTTGTATGGAGGAGTACTAGTCACCTCATGACTAGAGTGCTTGACTGCAAATCACAAAGCAGTCCTCTACCTTAAAGTTGATTGCATTACCTTTGGTACTGAAGGTTTAAATGTAACTGCAGATAGTAAGCCCTTTTTTGGCCATTCAAATCCAGTTCTTAAGCCTGACCCCCAATATTTTGATGATGCTGTGGAGGCTGGACAATGGAAAATGAATAACAAGATTGTGAAGGAAGACAAACGCAGAATCTCATCTGAATTTAAATGCCAAAACTGTGAGGTGGGCACAGTTCCATTACCAATGGAGAAGCACACTGGAGAGTCTCTCAGGAATGTAAAGGGGTTGCATGATTTTGTGCGCACGGATAACTTAATAAATGGCAAAGAGAATGAGACTGGAGATTCAGCCCCTATGTATGTCCTTCCTTCTGGTGAAACTAAACTGTCTGAGAAAGTAACTGGTTTTTATACTGATAAGGTTGTAATGGAGTGTGAACTGCCAGACCTGACTGTTGGTTTCAAAGAGGATCCTTATCGTGTTGTCAAGGACATCTGCATTGATGAGGGAGTGCCTTCCCTGGACAAGATTTTGACAGAAAATGATGAGGTGGATTACAAGTCCTGCTTCCCACACACTGGCTTGGATGTAAATAGTGATTTGACCAAAGAAAAAGACTCGGTATTACCTAGTTTAAATGAGATGAAATCTTTGGTAGAAAGTTATTGCAATAAAGATATTCTGAACCAATGTAATTCTGAAGTTTTACATCAGAAAGATGAATATGTGGATGAAGAAGATAAGACTGCACATAACAGCACGGATGAGGTCATCCCTGGAAGTGTGCCTCTGGGAAAGTTGGATACAGAAGACTCCTACATCAAGCCATCAAATTTTGGCAGCAATAAAGATCAACAACAATCGAATCAGGTATTACTATTGGTCATTATGCTTGCATTATAAAATTTTCATGGCTGGATTTGTTATTTTGTTAAATTGTAAATATTTTTAAGAGGCCTTTGCTTTGTTTTTGTCAGCTCAGAATGGTGGTAATGTAACATTTTTCCAAGGAATACTTTGTTTAGTCTAGGATTTGAGGCCAAAACATATACTAGTTGTGCAGATTCCTTTTTTTGGGAGGTTGGGAAATGAGGGAGGGTATTTCACATCTTCTGATCTGATAAAAAATCCGAGTACCCTTGTTTGGACTCTGCAATTTGAAGAGATTAGAGCATGGATTGATCGGACGATACATTTAATTGTAGCTTCAAACCATCCATGGTGGGTGAAATCTCAGACTGTATTTCTATCTGACATTCTATTAGACATCTTCAGGATGGAACTCTTACACTTACATCATCTTACTAGAAATTGCTATCTGAATTCCCAGCGTATTTTATGGAAATAAATCCTCTTTTACCTTTATTTTCTTGACTTACTTCTAATGAGCTTATATCACAGGATTCAAGTAAAGAAGCTCCTGCAGAAAAATATGGAATATCATCCCCTACGGAAGAATCTGATGACAGCAACCCTGCCAACAAAGTTCCTTTCAATAATAAGGTGGAGAATGGAAGTACCATCATGAGTTTTCACCCTTCAAAACCAACTACTAGAGAGGAGACCTCAACAAAAGCAGACTCTCCGCAACCCCTTCACATTTTACTTAGCATGTCCAGGCTTGAGGACGGAACCGTAGATAGCCTAACAGGTTCAAGCAGAAGTCTTTGTATTCAACATGGTCATGGAGAATCGAGTTTCTCTGCAGCGGGTCCCATGTCAGGATCCATAACTTACTCAGGACCAGTACCATATTCGGGTAGCATTTCTCTTCGGTCAGATAGCAGCACAACCAGCACCCGTTCTTTTGCATTCCCCATGTAAGTCTCTTACACAACACACACAAACACAAAAACACCTACAGGTCAGTCTGAATTGGCTATTGCATTTACAGATTGCATTCGGAGTGGAATAGTAGCCCAGTAAAAATGGCTAAAGCAAATCGGAGAAATTTCCACAAACATCGAGGTTGGAGGATGAATCTTCTCTGCTGTAGATTCTGAGTCTGACTGCTACAGGTTGCCAACGTTGGTTAGGCTTAGCTATACATCATCAAAATATTATATTTTCAGTATGGCATATCTCATAAATATTTCTCCTAGCCCATGGTTGGTGCGTGTTCTGCGGTGGGTCCAAAGTAGCATGCTTTTGGTCATTAGTTTGTGGAATGCAAGTTGAGATGTAAGCAAAATTATTAATGTTATTGTTTGTATAATCATCATCTATACCCTGAAATTAATTTTTCATCCAGAAATCTTCAATTACAGGCTTACAGCATGATAACGATATGCCCAATTATTATCAGGACTTATAGTTTGATATAATACACAATCGTCCAAGTCCAAAGAAGAGATCTTTAGGCTGTTTTTGTTTTGATATAAAGTTGAGGGAAAGTTGTCAAATAATTTCAATTTTTAGATGCTTCATTCCTAATTATAGCTTAGTGCAGTTAAACTGAAATAATTTAGGGCCTGTCTAGTTAAAACTGGATCATTCTAATTCCAACTGTTCGGTTGGGTAGAATCAAAATCCCATTCCCATTTAAGGGAATGGCCATTTCCTAACCTCTCCCTTGAAAATGAAATACCGTTCCAACTGATTTCAATTCCTATTCCGATTCCAATTCTTAGTATGAATCAAATGGACCGTTAAGCTTTCATGCATGATCAATAATTGATTTCCGTATTATAGGAGCCAGTAGAGCCAGCAGTGCAAGTACTGACTGGGCTTTTGAAACTGCAAGAAAAACGGCAAAGGGTCGTTATAGTCACACGTAGGAGCAATCAGTATTTGGATTCGTAGCTGACAGGTGAGGGAATGGAAGCGGACTTGTCGAGTTAGCAGTTGTGATGGTTTTGAACTCGTGTGGACATTGGCCAAGTTCGAATATAGTCAGAGTGTTAGTTGATAGCTCTGAAGTAGCCAACCAAACCAAATAATTCGCATGGGTTAGAATTCATGAACAATGCATGATAACCATGCTCCGTCAGGGTTGCTTGCAATTAGGTGCTCGTTTGGGAGGGCTGAAGCCTGAAGCGTACACAAGGTTCTAAGTATCGATATAGGCATCGGTGCTTTTTTTGTGTTTTTTTATTTTTTCGAATCTGGTTCAGAGGGGTCAGTTTACCCTCTGTACCATGGTCTGACCCAAAACACCCCCTGTAGGGGCATATCGAGAAGGCCACTATATGATATGGGCTGATACATAACAATATTTTGAACCTTGGGCACACAGCTTCAGGCTTTCCTACTGAAAGTATATTGTGGTAATGTATATTTGGGGTAATCAACTTGGGCCCCGTCCATCCTTCCTACCTACTGGGCCTTAAAATCAGCTGATCTTCTTGCTGGGCCTACGTGGCCTAAACATCACCAGATTCATGAATGCTGGCCAGGAAACAGCACTGTGAGGTGGAGCCCACAGTGTAAACTTCCTCAAGGCTGATATGGGCAATGCTCTTAAGGCCTTAAGGGTACAACTTGAATACCTAATTTGAAGGTTTTCCGCCTCATCGTGCCCACGCCCTTTCAAATTGAAGACATGTTTAACTCAAGCCTGTCCAAGTTACACCCCTAGCTACAACCTTCAAAATTGAAGAAATGAAGGTAGATACAACCTTCAAACTTTGTTATTAAACTAGCGGATGGGACCTGTGCTTACTTTAAATTGATATCTTATCTATATACAACTACTCTAAGTGTGTGGTATATTCTATGAAAAAATATGAAATTTCGATAAATAACACCTAAGTGGCTACCTCGTTTATGATTCCAATTGACTGGTCACAAGTTTTTCAGATATTATATCTTTTCCATATCATAGTCGAACCCCTCTTTATAACATATTTTTGTAACAAGTTTGTTATTTAATATAATGCATAACCTCTTGCCCAAGGTTCAAAGTATTGACACGTATCAGCCCGTGTCGACCGATACGTATCATATCGGGAGCACCCCGATATGCCCCTATAGAGGGTGTATCGGGGCTATGACCGGTTCAGGGGGTGGAGGAGCCTTAAATCGGCCCCCTGAACCGGTTTTGAAAAAAAAAGTAAAAAAAAAAAAAAGATTGATACTGCTTGATATGCCCCTACCGGCCAAACCGACCCAACCCGACCCAACCCGAGTCGGCCGGGTTTTCATCCGTACCGGTCGGTTTTGGGTTGGGCACATACATAAACTGAAATCTCGGGTCGGTTTCGGTTTTCTTGC